CATTGAAGGATATCTGATTTCCCAACTGCAGCAATAATGTGATAAAAACGGTTCCTATTGGTCGAAATGGGAGGCAGCCACTGTTGACTCAGCAAATTTTGTGCTAAAGAAGTTCCTATTGGTTGAAATGGGAGGTGATCACTGTTAATACTATTGAGTTATTTGTCAAATCATGTCAATGTTTATCTAGCTTTATTCCTATTGGTTGATCGGGGTGGTGAGAACAGTGAATTAGATTTAATGTATCTTCACAACATGCTATTAAAATTCGTAGATATTTTTGTTGAGAGCTTCATAAAAAAAAAATAGGTCATGGTGTGGGCCATACCCAATGCATGCCTATTTACATTCAGCTATAAAAGCAGATTCAATAATGCATTTCTCTCATATATTCACTGGATCATCACGCTCACGGAGCAAAAAAGAGTCAATATACTCTTTCAATATGGTTGATATGTGATCTATAGTTCATGAGATTGGTCAAAGCAGGACCACCTGGGTCATGAAGGGGAGGACGACAAGAGTACGTGTGGGATCCTGCACATATGATGGCTTCTGGCCATCTTTAGAAGTCATCTTTCGGCCATAGACCTGCATTCCAAATGAAAGTTGTAATTAAAAAGATTTGAATATTGTTTTTTATATTTATTGATCGATTTGTTAATTTATGTAAAAAATGCATATCAATTTAGACGAAATTAACATTACTGCTCAGTTGTGTTTAAAAGACAAATAATAGTAAACCAGCTCAAAAACCGTGTTCTACATATTTTAACTTTTAAGTTCTAATACCCCGTGTAAAGTTTAGCATGATTTCTAATTTTTTTCAGTTTTGTTAAAGTTGTATCTAGGTTGATAGGGAGGTATGCTTCTTCCTTTAAAGGTATTAATCATTACAAGAGAAAGCAAATGAGATAGCAAATGAGAAAGCGTGAGATTTTCAATAGTGTAAGTTTACAAATCAGAACTCTCATTAGTAGCACTTCGTTTACAAGATGTAAACCTTGCAAATAGAATCTTCTATCAGAACTCTAATTAGTAGCACTTCGTATACAAATCACGTTCATTCAAAAACTCTCATGACCACAAATCATGCTTCTATTCATCCACTTCAAATCATGGTCTAATGCTCTTAGCAATTTGTGGATGTGATTTTTCAGTTTTTCCCTATCAAAAGATGCTATAAAATAGCGGGTTAGTGGGACTAATGTTCCAAAACGCTCTGAATTAGTCCTGTAATAAAGATCTAATAAACATGAGAAAATTATCTTGGATATGACTAAAACTCCTTGAGTTTATCAAACTATGACCTAACTAGTTTTTTTCCCAAAAAATATTTAAATTTCTAATATTTAATTAATTTCGTAATTAATAAATAAATAAATAAATTTGATGGACTAATATACCCTTTAGAATATGCCTATAAAACCCTAATCTTCTAATCATTTCCCAACCCTAATAAGCTGTAATCTTCTCCAGCCGCACACTAGCCTCCGATCCCACGACTGCCGCACGGTCGCCTGCCACCATTGCCCTGCCGCCGCCGCCAGCTCGCCGCCCAGGAGTCACGTTGCCGAGTCGCACAGGGTATGGAAGCCTCGCCAGTAACCTCACGCAAGATGGTTGGCTCGGAGGTTGCTGGCGGCCTAACACCTCTGCAGAGATGGCCGGAGAGCCATGTGCGCCGCTACTCTCTCAAGATCTGTGCATCGCTGCTGTCTCAAGATCTGTGCGCCGCCTCCCAGGTGCCTCCGTTCATCTTCAACTAGCCGCTGTTTCGCAGATGCCGCCCTTCGTCCCCAACCAGCCGCCGCCATCTAACTGCATAACAGCGCTCCAACTCGCCGCCTCCGCCTCCATGAGTGATAGATGGCTCGCAACTAGCTCTCCCGTAGATGAATACTCCCATTTAAATTAAAATTAGGTTTGTATTTTTTCAATGGGTTGAGAGTGGATCCCTACTTTGGATCCGCTACTAGCTTAGGCCCACAATTCTCTTTTTTGCTTTTCTATTTTCAAAATTTGGAGTAACTAAATTTGTGGGCATTAAATATGTGAAGTGAATATAGGCAGTGAACATCATAATATATACAGAGTATTATTCATAGCAGTGAATGAATGCATTAAAAAGTTTGTCATGCAGTGTTTATGACCGGTATTGCAGTAACACAGAGCGGTGATATCATCATGAAATGCAATATACTTAATTAGACATAAAATAATAAAATCATTAAATATAAAAAAAAATCCACAATTGAATAAGAAGAGAATTAATTTTTGCGGAAGTGCAGTGATTATTACCGGGTGTGCAGTAAAGGCATGCATTAATTTTGTGCATTAACGGCAATATAAAATGTAATAATTTTAATTGGACGAAATTATGGCAAAATGCACATATTTTAAATAAGGGTATTTTCGTCATTCAACATTTAAATATAAACGTATTTTCTATTTTTTTTTTAGATTTTCGGTCATACAAAGGTATAAAAACTAGTTAGGTCATAGATTGAGAAACTCATTGAGTTTTAGTCATATCCCGGTAAATTTCCCAATAAACATATATTTCAGATTACTTAAAAAAATGATCAAACATAACTTATGTGTAGGCAAAGATTCGATTGTTTAGATGTGGTTTACAATAAAACGGAATCACATTGTTCACTAATAATCTGTGTTCGAACAATCGAACTCATTATGTATGTAGGAAAAGAGTACATCACAAGCAATATCTATGATTATAAAATACATTTGAGAAAGACAAGACAAGAACTTACAGATTGAAACATAAGGAGTCACTACGCAACGTCAATTTGGAGAGTTCTTCAGTTTTGTCATAGGCTCATAGCTCGGTGAAAATATGCAGACGATTCGCATCTTCAATAGATCGATGAATGTTTCGAAAGTTATTGTGGTTAAATGATAGCATTACTTTTCATATACGGACTCAACTAACATTTTCTCACAAATTCGTATGTGAGTATTGTTTAATAATACCGTAACAGACTTTCACATATTTGCACACCCCCCTGATTTGACAATTTACCCGGGCAATTCGTGTAAAAAATGCAATTCGTACAAATGCATAGTCACCATATTACTTGAGATGCTTATAGTTACACTTATTTCAGTCTCAGACCAAACCAAACTTAAACAAACTAGATCAGACCATATTTGGATATTAGAAATAGTAGAAGCACCTATTTGAACATTTTCCCACAAATTTAGATTCAAGTATAGTTCAAGAATGACATAGCACACTTTCACATATTTTACTCCCTTATTTTATCTATTTAGAGAGACAATTCGTCTAAAAAATGCAATTCGTGTAAATTTATAGTCGCCTTATTACTTAGTCATTGTAAATAATTTACCTTCAATTAATTTATATAAACCTTTGAAAATGAAAAAAAATGGCAAAATCATTTGCACATCGCAAGGTGAATTACTAGCAAAACATTTTACTAAATTCCACTACAAAAAAAAACACGAGATTGGCAGGGATTGGCAAGGATTTTGGCTGGGATTATGCCAAATCCGTGCCAAAAAACTTTGGCACGAGCTATTTGGCAAGAAAAATGGGTAATCTGTGCCAAATTTCCGTGTCAATCCCGTGTTTTTTTTGTAGTGAAAGGAAATGATTTTGACATAAGTTAGTGCGAGCTAAAATGTGTTGATTCCTAAGCATCCCTATTAACAACTTCAAATGTTAACGGTGTGATGCACGATCAGACAATGAGATACAAATGTACTATGACTGTAGATACATTTATGTGTGTGAGGCTTCTTGCCGCATATTTGGGTTTGAAATTCAATATAAGACTCTGGCAGTAGAACCTTTGAGCTTCCATTTGCTGAAAAAACAAAGTGTTGTCTTTCGCGATGATCAGCCTCTGGATTCAGTGGTTCGGGCATGTTCAGTTAAGGACATTATGTTCACAGCATGGATGGAGACTATAATATTATAAGTGTGTTTCATTTAATGTTTTGATGTATATCAGTATTACATGCAGATAGATGTTGTCATCAATTGATAGTGTGATTTGAATTACTAAGCACGCATAAATTTGAAAGAAAAATTCTCAAACCGTGTATCGCACGGGTGAGGATATTAGTACATATAGAAAATCTTATACGGAGTATTAAACCCGCTGAAGTGATAAGGCCTATTCCGCACAAAGATTGAAATGGCTCCCCTAATTGGTTTACAGGTAATGAACTAACCTTATATAATTGTTTTTGGGGAGCAGACTGCTATTGTAGATTTCAATGATAATGTCAATCTTATTGATTAGAGTAGGACTAGAATTTGTGAGCTTCAAAATACCCATGCCGCATCACATTTCATTCTAGGTATAATATACGTATAATCATAAATGAAAGAGAAAACAATTGAAAGTCGAAGATCAGACTCCATTAATGTGTATATGGGGTGTTTGGAACTAATCTCCTTCGGCTTCTTTTTTAAAACAGAAGCAGAACTAGTTTTTAGAATCTGGTCTTTCCATCTTCTAAAAAAACTGATTCTAGGAGTAAATTAGAACACCAGAATCATTTATGCATTTTCATCCAAACACACCAACTTCTGCTTCTGCTCTCTGAAGGAGTTTTAAGAATCAGATCCAAACGCCTATATATAGTAACATAGAAGGGAATTTTCAAGTTTTCTCACTGCTACAATTAAAATGAGCAAAAAGACTCCAAATTCTATTAACACATCTCCTGAATTATATTAATGGCTATGATGATTTGAAGAGAAATCTTATACTTCGTATGATGAGTGGCAATAATTCTTTAGAATACTCTTCTTACCTGTATATATATACATAGTATATGGTTTTCTACTACTTACATATTGCAAAAGAACTAGCTAGCTAGTAGATTATGTACATACTTCGTATTAATTAAGGAATTCTTACATATATATAGACTCTTGGGTAGGCTCAAGTTCTTATGTATTCATATTAATTATTGTCCCATACCATCGGATCGGAGAGTTATTATATGCATAAGAATTTAGATGTATTGAGTATTTATGATCATAAATTCACAACAAGGTTCAAATATATGCTTAGTATTTCAATACACGAATGATAAGTAGCATGCATGCATCCATAATAACACACGTAGTTCATCATATCGATCATACTTCGTATATGACTATTGAAAGCAATGCTGTTATATTTATGCAACACTACCTTCAATTCATTCTTAGCTTAGCTTCTTAGTACCTTCCTCTTTTCCTTCTCAAGGAGCTCGTACTATACCTAGTACAAAGAGTTATTCAATCATATTCTACTATGGGTACGTGTAGGTCTAAGTAGGAAGATATATAAGTATATATATAACTCGTATGCCGTCGCCGTCGCCGTCGCTTTTCTTCTACCCTTTCATGGTGAATGGTTTCCACCACCGTGTTGTTTACCTCCTCCGTACCCACCACCTGCGCCTGATCCTCCTCCGCCGCCATTGTGTCCACCCCGACTACCACTTCCTCCTCTGTATCCACTCCCTTTTCCTGAACTTCCATCATGTGCCCGACCACCACCTCCACCTCCGCCCGATCTTCCTCCTCCACCTCCTCCACCATAATGTCCATCCGCACTACCACTTCCTCCTCCACGGTCGGTACCTGCTCCTTCACCTCCACCTTGCCCACCACCACCGCCTCCTCCTCCTCCTCCTCCTCCTGATCCTCCTCCTCCACCTCTACCACCATCATGTCCACCCCCACTACCACTTCCTTCTCCATACCCTCCTCCTTCTCCACGGCCTCCACCTTGTTCCCCACCACCACTACCTCCGCCCGATCCTCCTCCTCCTCCGCCACCTTCATGCCCACCCCCACTACCACTTCCTCCTCCATACCCGCCACCTTCCCCATGACCTCCACCTTGTCCCCCACCTCCACCACCGCCTCCGCCTGATCCTCCTCCCCCACCTCTACCTTTATGCCCACCCCCACTGCCACCTCCTCCTCCATACCCGCCACCTTCTCCACCACCTCCACCATATGCCCCACCACCTCCTCCTCCGCCTGATCCTCCTCCCCCTCCACCTCCACCTTCTTGCCCACCCCCACTACCACTTCCTCCTCCATACCCGCCACCTTTTCCACCATGTGCCCCTCCACTACCACCACCTCCGCCTGATCCTCCTCCTCCACCACCTCCACCTTCATGTCCACCCCCACTCCCACTTCCTCCTCCATACCCGCCACCTTCTCCACTACCTCCACCATGTGCTCCTCCACTACCACCACCTTCGCCTGATCCTCCTCCTCCACCTCCACCTTCATACCCACCCCCACTACCACTTCCTCCTCCATACCCGCCACCTTCCCCATGACCTCCACCTTGTCCCCCACCTCCCCCACCACCTCCGCCCGATCCTCCACCTCCACCTTTATGCCCACTCCCGCTGCCACCCTCCTCCTCCATACCCGCCACCTTCTCCACCACCTCCACCATATGCCCCACCACCACCACCTCCGCCTAATCCTCCTCCTCCACCTCCACCTTCATGCCCACCCCCACTACCACTTCCTCCTCCATACCCGCCACCTTGTCCATGACCTCCACCTTGTCCCCCACCTCCACCACCACCACCTCCTCCGCCTGATCCTCCTCCTCCACCTTCACCTATATGCCCACCTTCGCTGCCACCCTCCTCCTCCATACCTGCCACCTTCTCCACCACCTCCACCATATGCCCCACCACCTCCGCCTAATCCTCCTCCTCCACCTCCACCTTCATGCCCACTACCACTTCCTCCTCCATACCCGCCACCTTCTCCTCCACCTCTACCATGTGCCCCACCACCACCGCCACTTCCTCCTCCACCACTGCCACCAACATGCCCTCCACCACCATATCCCCCACTAGCACCCTCTCCACTTCCGTACCCATAGTTGTTCCCGACCTCATCATAGCCGCCACCTTTTCCACCTCCTCCTCCCCCACCATATCCCGTTCCGCTGACTTCTACACCACCTTCAGCTCCCCCCGCATAACCGGAGCTTTTTACATCTACAACACCATGACCGCCGGCATCGTATTTTGGCCTAACACTGCCCACATCAAGATTGAGGAGGGTTCTTGCTGCCGAGCAAATTCCTATGCTCAGCCACACAAAGAAGAATATAGTATTAAGAACTCTATGCCTTGCCATAAGGGAAACGAAGATCGGAGTGCTTTTATTTGCATGCTGGATGTTGTGGGCATTTATATAGCTAGGACTAGGAAAAGGAAAGAACGCGTTGAATAGAAGAAAACAAATGAGAGAGGAAGAAGCGTCGCCTATTCTCCCCACAAATGAAAGTGCGTGGTCTCATATATCATCATGACGCCTCAAATATATAAGATCTCATCGATCATCATGTTCACATTTTAGCTAGTGACCCAGTGTGCTTTTGCTGTCTCCCACATACGATCGACTTCTTCAATTCTTGGTATTACCCAACAAATACAAATTACAATACTCCGTATATACCTAAATAAATGTGTTCAGAAAATAATCCAAATAGGACAAAACAAAGTGAGAGTTCCACTTTTCCATGTTTTCTCGGAGAATTAATTAAAAGTGGAAGTAAATGTCAAAAATACTCTTATTTTTAAAAAATGTAGTCTTTCGAGTTTTCGACCTAGCCAAAATGACATGATAGAACAAAGATGTCATCGCGTATATCATACTTTCATTAAAAATCATTATGCCATCATCTAGATAAATTACTCTCATCATGTCATATATTCTTCATCAAACAATAATAGCGTGAATTCCCTAAATACTACCTCCGTCCCAAATTGATTTGCAAATTTGACTTTTCTTAGTCAAACAATTTCATTTTATTTGCTTAATTAGAATGTTAATTTTTAATTATATTCTAATTTGGAGTTTGCAACTTTAAAGAGAATTTAATGTAGTTTCTTAATATGTAAATTTTAATTATTAAAAATTGAATTAATTATGGATCGGGAGGTTTGACTTTTATTATTGATTGACAAAAAATATTGACTTTGCAAAACAATTTGGGACGGAGGGAATATGAGTAAAACATAGGCAAAATGCAAAAATAGGAGTACCATGTTTTGAATGAGAGTAATTTTAGTGTTTGGACAAATATACCCCTTCCCAAGCCCCAAACTCCAACCACTTTCATTAATAATTAAAACATAAAAGAAATGACATTAATTTATATAATAAAAAATGAGAAAAATAAAAAAACACGAAAATTTATAAGGATTATTAAAGAAAATATACTCCGTAGTAAATAAAAGAAATGAGAAAAAAAATACTACGTAATAAATAAAAATAAAATAAATAAAATAAAAAAAATAAAAAAATGTAAAAAATATATATATAAAAAATATGCAGGCCACTACTGCCGCCTCAACAACCTCCCAGCACCACCAGCTCCGACCACCGGAAAGAATGCCAACATTTGTAACAAATGCCATCTTGATACAGTTTTTTTTTAAAAACTTGACATTTTTAAAGAGTAAAAATGTCATCTTTATGACATTTTCAAATAAAAACGGCAGTTTTTACATAAAATGGCATATTTTTTTATCAGAGGTGGCATTGCTGAGCGGTGGCCGTGGCTGTGAGAAAGGCCTCCATATTTTTAAAATTTTTAAGGTGTTTTATGTATTATTTATTTATTTTTAAAGTTTTTATTTTTTTTTAATTTTTATTATTTAATATTTTTTGAAAATATTTCAGATGTTTTTAATATTTTAATAGGATCAAATAAGTCCTATTTTAGAATTAATTAGATTAGGGATATTACGGGTAGAAAATTAATGTTTACTCCTATTGAAGGAAATTTTAAGTTTTACTCTTATTTGTGTTATTATATTTGTGTTTACTCATATACTGGACAATTTGTCACAATATTATTGTCTTGATCTTAATAAATAATGATAATAATAAAAGCTTATAATGGTGAATGAGAGTAAGGGTACTTTGGGTATAAAAATGTGTTGGTGTAATTATATGCTATTGTAAACTTGTGCTTTGAGCTTAGAAGATCATACTTAAGTCTGTCCATTATCTTTAATCTCACACAAACCTCCACTCTGTTAGTTAACGTACTAAAACTTAAGACCTTCCGTTTTCCAGTTTCCACTAAACGTTTAGCTTAGTGACATTGTTTTTCTTGCTATTGCATAGTAAATTAGTAACATGGCAAAATGTAATCTTAAAGATTTTTTCCCCTCAACAAATAAATACGCAGTACAGCACCACTATATGTAACAAGCTTTTGGATTATTGATATCTATTTTCCTTTCTTTCTCAAGCAAGAAATAAAAAAAAAGTATAACAAGCAATCCTATTTTTTATATAAATTTAGAGCAGTATGGTAATACAAAAATTGTCAGAATCATTCGAATTTGCAGAAATAGATGAAATGTTGACTGAAACGGCAGAATTGATTAAGTCTACCAAATTATTAGAAAATTATGTTTAAATTGTATTTTGTTAATAAAAATAAAAATAAAAACTAAATTAGTCATCTATGTACAATAACTTCATTCAGAATTACAGTAGCCCCAAACTTACATACTTTGACTATTATTGTCCGTTCAGCATACAAAATCAAAAATTATGTATTTGGTAAAAAAAAATGATTGCTAAGGTTGATAAATTGAAAATATAAACAAAAGGTTGAAAGATATACTTTCTCAATCTTTTGCAAACGCTCTCTAACATCATCTTATGCACCCTGTTGAGTGGAGTTCATTTGACTACTAATGATTAGCTTGGTTACAATTATTAATTGTTTCAATTTACTCATATTATTAGATTCTTCAGTTCTTCACAATTGATTTATTTGCATTTTCAGGTACTTTTGCTCTTCAATTTTTTTACCAATAGGTTTTGTTGGGTAAATGGCCCCGAGCAGGGGTCCGGCCCAATTACCCCCAAACCGACGTACGTCGCCCAGCCCACGGATGGCCCTGGCCTGAAGGAATGAGGACGAATGTCTGTCTCCGGGATAACAGCATAAGGTCCCGGCCGAGGGTCGGTTAGCACATCCGTGACGAACGTCGTCAGCCGAGGCCCATCTCCGTAGAGGGCCCCGGCCCAAAAGATTGATACGTTCTCAGGAAGGGCCACAGACGAACGGCCCCCGGGTCTACCAGACGATCGTGGTCATCAATTAGGCGGGGAACCCAGATTCTGGCGGGAAGCGCATTTAATGCCGGAGATTTGGTGGTTGGGCCACAACCACTAACAATCCTCCACATCATCAGGACTAACTGCCCATTGGCGGGTATAAATAGTAGCATTTATTTCATTGTAAAGGGTTGGCAACTTTCTATTCTTAGCATACTAGCTTCAGCATTCTTGCTTGCAGCATTTCTAAGTGCCTTGTAAGACGAACGGCCGACGTGCCTTTTTAGCAAGTAGATTGTATTTAGGGGAGTTGTTACGAAGTTAATAATACCTACTTACATTGCCTGCTATTTCTCTTGTTTCCTGATCCATCTGAAGGTTGTTGGGCTAGATATCCACACACTCACTCCACTCGAAATCTTTGGGCTTACGTGTTGGGTCCAAGGGTTGAAGGAATAAACCTCAACAGGTTTCAATTTAATTAAAATGGGAAATTTGAAGGGGGTGCATTTTTAAAACAAAATTGCTTTGCGCACATACACATAAGGATCTTACGATGTTTTTTTAAAGGTGTTCAGTATCTGAATGTTTAATCTTAAATCAAACATGGCTTCATGATATCCAAGAGCAGAAAAGATCAAATGTTAATTGATCTGATCTTGGTTGTTGTGTGTATTTTTGTTTGTGATCTGAATTCATTCGTTAATTGATATATTAATCAAATATTGTTTCTTATGGTAGACACTTGCATGCCATGTTTCTTGGCTCCTTTGACAAGTTTTTTTTTTGAGAACTTCCCCATTTAGCGTGCGATATCAACTTCCCTTATACATGAAAATCGGTGGACATTTTCTAGAAATAGGTGGATATCGGGTTCTATCCTATAAGTCAATCTAATATCATGAGTATACGTAACTCATGTATACTCACAACCTGCCACTTTGTCTGGATCATGTCATTATTCACTTTTTCATTGGTTCGTCATTGTCATTTTCATTATAATTACATCATCATTTTTCATAAGAGACCCACGCAGCCACACCATGATTACGCACCATGGTTACACATCGATTTGACTCTGATATCATGTTAAGACTTGATGTTTCATCCTAATAGGTCAACCAAATATGTTACTCAATAGGTTACTGATCTTCTTGATCAATGCCACAATGCCACATCCAAATATTGACGGTGATGCATGAAGTTGGTTAATAAATCGCTATTTTCTCTGGAACCGTAAGAATATGTATTGTCTATTGTGGATATTAGTCAATCTTATATTTTTCTTAGGAAAAAAGGTCAAATAAGTCCTTCTATTATTTTCAATCTTCACTAAGCTCATGTACTCAAATAAAGTACTATCGTATCATATAAGTACACTTACTCTAAAAAGTTGATCAATTTGACCATTTAATAAGTTTTTGACCTATAATAACATGTTTTATACTTAAAAATCTAAAAATTGTTAGAATTTGAACAAGAAGAAGAAGAATTTGAAGGAGGGGGAGGGGGAGGGGGAGGCGAAGAACTTTTGGAATATCAAAGCCATTACTTGTGAATTTTTAAGATTACTTTTGTATTCTACATCTATTTAAAAGATGTTTAAATTTTTTATTTTTTATTTTTTTATTCTCACTTAATTTTTTCAGTTTTATGATTTTTTTATTGTTTTATTTTAATGTTTTTAATTTTTTAATGGGAAAATGGAAACTAATAATCCAACCTTTTAGCGGTCTTCTTTCAATAATCCCACCTTTTGATTATTCATGAATAATTCAACCTTTGCACCCCATCTTCATTCGTTGGTCCCTGATCGGTTAATGATCTGTTATTCCAAGTTATTTTCTTATCTTTGCAAAATATTATCTTTGTGAAAGATGAGATTTATGGTATAATGATTTGCAAAGATAAGAAAATAGCTTGGAATAGCAGGTCATCAACCGGTCAGGGACCAGTGAATGAAGATGAGGTGCAAAGGTTGGATTATTCATGAATAATCAAAAAGTTGGATTATTGAAAGAAGACCGCTAAAATGTTGGATTATTAGTTTCCATTTTCCCTTTTTTAATCTACTTTTACATTTACA